GGAAGGTGCCCCACCGCCTCCTCTGGTTATCACAGGACTCGGCCCCCCCGCGGGATCAGATAGCGCGTCCAGGAATGAGGAAGTGCCGTTCCAGCAGGAGCCGCTGGGGCTAGGGACATCCAGTGGGACCAGAGTCAGCAGTAGCCAGCGAGGGACAGCCCGTGGGACCTGCCCCGGCACGAGTCCCGCGAGGGGCATCGAGGCCCCAGGCTGCAGGTGGGGACACCCCAAGGACACTCATGGTGACAGAGGGCATCTTTACCCCAAGCCTGTGGCCGGCAGAACTCACTCTTTCCCCCAGGAGGCTGCCTGAACCTCGCCTTTGATCTGCGTCCAAAATCACCAGTGGGAGGGAGGGAGCCTCAGGAAACCCCTGAGAGGTGATGAATTAGGAGGGAGGACGGCCAGGACCGAGTCAATGGAGCCCTTTTGTTCCCGGAGCCTGTGCTGCAGCTCCAGCTCCGGCCCCAGCTCCGGGAGGAATGTGCACAGAACGCAGACGCCCAGCTAATGGCCCGGCCGGGCCCCAGGGCGCCTCGATCGATGGCCAGATGTGGGCCAGCCCCCCACCAACATCCCCCCGCCACAGCTCTAGATGAGTGCATGGCACTCTGCTGCTGTGGGCCGCGGTGGGAGCGTGGTCCGGACTCCGGCCGGCCTCTCCTGCAAAGAGCAAAGCCAGCACAGGCCCTGGGGCCGTACCCCTCGAGCACTTGCCTGCTCCCCTGGCTCAGAGCTACTCTGCTCGGGTCTTCCAAACCTCAGGGAGTGGTTTCACCACTGGCGGCCAGCTTCAGAAAGTCTGCACTGAAATGCCACTGGGGCACACAGGCTGCTACCTCTGGGCACGAGAGGGCCACTGAGACCCTCAGCCGCCTGGACAGTGCCCTAGGGCGCAGCGTGGAGGATGCCGCGGGCACAGCCCGGCCCCAAGGGCACCAGGTGCTCCCTGCTCGGGAGCTGGAACAGGGTCCCACAGACAGACGTCCCTTAGTGCTGAAGAACAAAGCCGGAGCTGCGACGGGTACGGGGAGGGTCATCATCTCTCCAGAGCAAAGGAAGAGGAAGGCGGGAGCTCCCCCGTGCCACAATGAGAGCCCAGGGAGGAAGGAAGAGAGAAGCAGAGAGAGACACAGGCTCCCTGTCCGAGGAAGCAGCTGCGCAGGGAGCCCTGCCAGCTGGGGACACCTCGCCGGCCCCTCACGGGGAGCCATGGGGACCCCTGGTCTTGGGAAGAAGTCCTAGTTTTGCAGCCGGGCCTGGGTTCCAATCTGGGACGCCCCCCAGCGCCACGCCACACCATCTGCTCACAGGCTCCAGCCCCGGTGGCCAACACGGGGCAGACTCTGATCCCAGACGCACCAGCCCCATGACACCCGTGAGCAAGTCAAGCTCCCTGAGTCTCAGGGCCCAATTCTGGAAAATACGGACAAAACCACGCCTCTCGAGGCTGGGCGAAGATTAGATCCTGCAGCTGTGCCTTCGGAAGAAAGCCTTAGGCTCACAAGGTCACTAGCCTGGTGCAGGGGGACGCTCGCAGAGGGGGGGCGCCCAGGCTTCCTGCCCAGCCCAGGAATGCCTTGGAAAGTCTTCTCTCCCCCAGAGCTGGTGGCCTCGAGGGGCTCCTCCCATCCCTGATCACAGAATGCTCCCCTGGAGGGAATTTTCCTGCTTACTGACCAAGACTTCTTGAACATAAATTTGTCATTAACATAGCCCGCCCAGGACAAAATACATGAATTCCAGATTGCCGCCTTCTATTTTTTCTAAATTCACATAACTCTTTTAAAATGTGTAGGGGGTCATCCCTGATGACCCTCATCCCCTCCCCTCTGTGACACAGGAAGGCACTGTGATGGCTTCTAAGGTTGGCCCCAGGTGGCAGTCATCCTGCCTTCCCTGGCCTCCTCCTTCCCATCCAGCAGAGGCGGCCCCACCCCCTCTGGGGGGTGGGCGTTGGGGGGGGGGGTTCCGGAACACCCTGCAGAGCTGCACCAGCACCAGACATACAGCTGAGACCCAGAGGTCCCCAAGTACACAAGGAGAGGGACAGTGCGATATGCCTGCAGGAGGGCCCACCTCGTGGATGCGGCCAACCCCCATACGGGGAGACGTGGGTGTTCACCAAACACAGTCCCCATAGGCAGGGGCCCACAGGAAGTTCCAGAAACCCAGAGATTCATGTTTCCTGCGTTTCTAGGAAAGGAGCAGACATGGAGATCTAACGGGTCCTGGCCTGAACAGTTGTGGGGGCCAGTCACCCCGCGGGGGAGTGACCCGGCCGTTAGTTCTCAGGACTCAACGCAGTAGAACAGATTCATAACATTTCTGGAACCTGAGAGAAGCCAAGTCCCGCTCAGCAGCACTTTGATGGAAGCGACCTTGAATGCGTGGGCGTTTTCAAGGGGGGGGGGCACTGTGGTAACAATGCCTTTGTGCAGTGGGTGGGCTTTCCATGCCAGCTTCATGTGGGCGCGCCTGGGAAGAGCACCCGCGGCATGCAGCCCCCCACACCCCGCTGGGCCCGGAGGGTTTCAGAAAAACCTCTGTCAGAGCAGCCAAACAGTGCGGAGGTCAGAGGACTTTCCAGAGACAGTGACGGCCGCCCACGCTGTCGCTTCCTGCCGGGAACCAAGGGCAGCTCTGACCTCACCAGACACCCGCTCAACTAACCCACTCACAAGGACTGCTGTTCCCGGATCCACAGAGACAACCGCAGTGGTCTCCAGGCGCACAGGCTGGCTCTTGGGCAGTCCAGGATCCGTGCACCTTGCGGGGGGGGCGGGTGGCAGGCACCTCACCCCTGCTCCCACTGCCAGGAGCAGACCCTCAGGCCCAAGCCATGAAACAGGGCCTCTCCCGTGGCTGGGAGCCACCCTAAGGTACCCTCCTACCGAGAGAGCCATGGCCCCACTGGGTGGTGGGCACACGAGGGTAACACTGCTGGTGGAGGCTGGGGGAATTCTCCAGCAGGAATGCCCTGCGCGTCCCCCATCGGAGCTCATGGGGAGGGGAGGGTGTTGCGAGGGAACAGAAGGCTTCTCCCCAACATCAGGGTGGTTTATGCCTGGCCGATCCTAGAGAAGAAGCAGGAGAGGCAGGCCACTAGCCAGAGGTTTGATCCAGACCCCTACCTGACAATGTCCTCATCTGTAAAATGGGCCAGCCTGCGGGTCCGAAACCGTCCCTCACTTTCCTCAACTTTTCACCTTCTTCTCAGGGTTTTTCATTCTTTTTAATCGCTGCCCCCATCAGGAGCAACATCCGGCTGCAGGACCGTATTTGAGCCTGTGACCTTCAGCTCCCAGGGTCGCCTTTGCAAGGGGCTCTATTTGAAACCATTAGGTGCCAATGCTACCCTTTGTAAACATAGTCAGTTTGTATCCAGGAGCACTCAGCTCCTGGCGCTCCTACTTCTCTTTCCGCCTCCCCAGAGCTTTGCGAAGCGTCCATCTGCCCATCTGCCGCCGCTGCCAGCTTTGCCGCTGGGCTGAGGAATCCGCTGTGAGAATAGGCACCCACGTCCGGGCAGCAGGAAGCCCGGGGCTGCACCACCCTGTTTCATCAACTTGGACAAGACACCTAGCCTTTTCTTTGCCTCCGTTTGCACACCCGTAAAATGGAGCCATAACCGCAGCTCCCTCTGGGGGTTGCCTCATGCATGAAAGGCGAAATGAACTCAGGCAAGGCAGTCAGCACACACGCTGGAGATGTGTGCCCCATGCTTTGTCTCTGAACTCACCCTTCCTCTGCAAGATTGCAAAGTAAGTTACTATTACTTTGAGGTCAGGAGTCTGGCCTCCTGCCGGTTCCCAGGCGGCTCCCAGGCAGCTCCCGGTGCACAAAGGTCCCCTCTTTCCCTGCAGCCAGGCCCTGATCCCTCCACCCTCCAGCTGCAGACTCCAGGGGGGCCCCTCCTTGGCCCCTCCAGGCCTCTCCACAGAAAGGCCTTTCTAATACTTGTTGATTGATTTGCAAATATAACCTCCCCTGCCCTAAAGAGGGGAGAATCACAGGACGCAATCTCTTTCAAAGAGCCAAGAAGTGGAGCACTTCAAAGACTCAAAGAGGGCAACGGGCACACAGCAAACCCACCAGAATGTCAAAACGGGGTTCCTGAAGGCCGGACGTCAGGCAATGAGATAATTAATGCAATATTAACATTAATGCAATGAATGCAATGAAAACTCGTGACGTGCTATTTTCAGGATATGTTTCAAGTCTTGGAGGCCCACGCGTCCATATCACAGGGAGTGAAAACCCGGAGAAACTCCCAAGTGTGGGAAGGGCTGGGACCCCGTCTGGGTGGGCGCTTCTCCGTAAGCAGGCAGTGACCGCCCTCAGCAGTGCTCTCTCTTGTCCCCACGACCCCGGGGCGCTGGTATGAACCACGGTGGACAGTGGGGGTCACCCTCTGGCGCTGTCTTAAGAATCCAGTCCCTTCCCGCCACACACAGATCTTCGTATCACTTCAGGCAAAGCCCTCAGCGCCCTTGTCAGCCAGCGGCGCCCACCCGCACGCAGACCCCCGCCCGCGCCCCGGGACCCTCCCCCCTGCGGCTTGTCAGCGGCGGCGCGGCGGGCCGGGGGACACGTGCCACAGGTGGCGCGGGGTCCCGGCGACCCCGCGCGGTTTCTGCTCCTTCGGAAGGAGCGAGCTCCCCCCCACCCGCCCCGCGCCTCCCGCCCAGCCCGGGGACGGGGACGGAGCCTGCTGGCCGAGAGCGGGAGAGGGCCCCCGAGCTCGGCTCTCCGCCCTGCAAGTCTCGGGACTCGTCCCAGAGAGCGAAGTCCTCCGGGCGCCGCCGCGCATTACCGCTCAGGCCGCGCCCCCGGACCCGGACCCGGACCCGGACCCGGACCCCGGATCTGCGCCGCCGGCCCCGTCCCCGGACCCCAGGCCGGCTCGCTCTCGCGCGCTTCCCGAGCCCCTCCCCGCGCCCAGCGCGCTGTCGCCGGCGCCGGCCCGAAACAAAGCGGGCGGCTGCGCGACCCGGTACCTGGGCGAGCGGCGGGTCCCGCGGGCGATGGCCGCAGCAGGCCGGGCGCTGAGCAGCGCAGCAGCGCGCGGGCGGGCCGTCCTCCTGGCTCGCCGCCGCGCCCGCCGCAGGGCCCCCTCGAGGCGGAGCGGGCAATCGCCGCCGCCGCGCCCGGCCGCCGGTCACCTGGCCTCAGCGCCCAGCCCTGCGGGCGCAGGGCGGACCCGCCCCCGCGCACCCCCGTGGGCCCCTGCGCCCCGGGACCTCCCGCCAGGCCCCGCGGGACCGCCAAATGGTGGCCCACCCAGGGGTCCCTGCTCCGAGAGTTCACGCGCCGCAGGTGGGGGGCGGGGGGAGGCTGGAGGCCTGACCCCTGCAAAACCGGTTGTTCTTTCCTTCACTCATTCCTTCCTTCCTTCCTTCCACGCTGCAATTACTGTGCCCGCGGGAACCCAGGCCTCCCTGCCCGCGGGTAGCTCACACTCTAGCACGGTTCTGCAGACGTAAAGCAGCGCTGCCATAGGGGGGCAAGGCCCAAGATGCTTTAGAAGTGCCTGGAAGGGACTTCACAAGTCACATGACTTCTTAAAATGAGCCGGGAGAAACAAGGAGGACTGTCTGGCCAGAAGCGTTCAGGAGAGCAGGTCCCAGGCCAGAGGGATACTCAGGGCAGGAGAGGCAGAGAAATTCCAGCATCCCCCCGAGACTCAAATATCCCCTCAGTCAGTCTCTCAGCCTCTGTTTACCCATTAGTGAAATCTGGGAAATGGGCAGCACCCTCCAAAGATGCCCTTGGAAAACACACAGCCCTCTGCAGATTTCGAGTGCTGCCCCTCACAGGCAAAAGAACGGTGTCAACAAGATCTTATCCTGAGGCCCGTGAGTGCGTGGGAAGCCCCGGCACAGGGAAAGCACATGTGAGAAGACACCCACCCTACAACCTGCAGAAGAAGGGCAGGGGTTGTACCCGCCTCGGGGACCAAATTGTCTTAGAATCCCACCTGGAGAGGCCTGCGCACGTCTTAAGTTGCTGTTACCAGGAACGGCCCCTGATCGGGGCTGGACACCCAACGCTACCCGGGCCCTCGGGGTCCAGCCGTGCCTGTCCTGGCTTGCGGGGACCTTCCTCTGTTCTTCACGGAAAGCAGAGGCTGACCCTCGCTCCTGTCCCACTCCTACCCTGCAACGCCTCTTGGAAAGGCCAATAACCCCTGCCTTGCTCTAGAGGGTAGCATGATTTCTCAAGAGGTCAAAACTTGTGACTCTCATCCTCAGACGGCAGAGGGTACCGTGGAGGAGCCTCAGCAGAAGAAGGGAGGAGTGAGGAGGTCGCAGCCCGCGGACCCCTAAACGGGGCTGAGGCTGATGTTATCACCCATAGGGAAAGAAGCTGAAATTATAGCTAACCTGACCAAGGTCACCCAGCTGTTCAGCAAGAGAACGTGACAAAGATCCAGAACCATCAGGCCGACAAGCTCCTCTTAGCTCTCTTCCACGCTGCCTTGTTCTGCCCATCCAGCTGTCCCGGCTGTGTCAACTGGTCTCTTTACTGGAACATCCCAGAGCCGACCACCTCTGCCCATCCTGTGTCTCAGGCTCTGTCACAGTGTCCAGGTCCCTGCTGGCTGAACGACTAGGTGAACTTGAACTTCTGAAGGTACCAGGACATCTACTTGCGGGGACAAGGCCAATAAGCTTGCCCGAGATCACGCGGCTGGGAAGCGGGGGATCCTCGCCCCTGCGGGGCAGCCTCTCCTAAAATCTCTGTCCTCAACTTTCTCTCCCTCAAAGCCGAACAGTGCCACCCACCCCGCTGTCCCTTGCCAGCTAGCTGTCCCTTGCCTCTGGGACTGTGGACACGTGGAGGCCTATTGAGACAGTGTCTGTCTTCATACATCCCTCCGCAGAGCCCCGAGAAGGGAGGAGGCACACTGGACCTGGTGTTCTCGTGCATTTCCCTTAGCCCGAGCAGCTGGCTCCCAGATTCACCGAAATGCAGATGCCCGCACCTGCCCGCACCTGGCCAGAGACTGGCACAGGGTGGGGCGGGCTTCCCAAATCCAGGAGCTCCCACTTCCCAGCCCACAACTTGGACTCTCCTAGAACCTGAACAACAACAGGGCACGCTGCAATTATCTGAAAAGGGGACACACATTTTTTCCATCCTTACCCATCCAAAAATATCTCAAATCTGAAAACAAAAGTCAGAGCAGTTTAGCTGAGGTCAAACAGGCTTACACCAAACCCGCCACTCCCTCCCCAGCACTGCAGATGGGGCAGGCGTGGGTCTGGGTGGGGGCTCGGCCACGTCTCCACTGCCCAGAGCCCCTCTTGTTCCTTCCCACTGGAGTTCTGAAAGAACTTTCTGGAACTTTGTTGTTGCCATGAAGATGGTCTTGGCCACGGCCGCAGTCTGACAATTCAGACTGGGTCAAAGACAGCATGTGGGCAACGATGTGGATAATTTTCTGATTTCCTTGCACTGAAAAGTAACATTTTCCAGGGAGCCACTGGAAGGGGAAGCAGGAAGCAGGACACGGGATGCTGGGAGGCTGCAGCAGGTCCACAAGCTGGTGCGGTGCATTTAGGTACGGTGCTCCTCCAGAGCTCACAGGGACATGGCCCCCTTCCCTCCCTATGCTTCTCTCCCCCGGCACACAAGTTCACAGGCACGACCCAGCACCTCGCCTTTTCCGTTCCCCAGAGGCTTTCCCTAAACCCATGGAATCTCAGTACTCTCTGTGCTAAAATGCACGCACACCATCTTCCGCAGCTATGCCCCCCCCCCACCTGTGCCCTGCTGGGGCCATGGACATCGGCTCTGAGACAGATCTGAGCATGTTCATATGCCAGGGGAGAGACGGAGGCAGGCAAAGAGGGTGCCGGTGCTGTGGGGGCTGTCCTGGAGCACATGGGTCAGTCTTGGGCGTGGAACACTGCTGGAAGGCCGCCCTTTGCCTCTGAGGTCGTCCCCAAAGGAGGTGGATGGCTCAGGGCCACCTCCCAGCAGCCCGGCCAGCAAGTGTTCATTGAAGGAATCTGGACCACTACAGGGACCTCGAGGTCCCACGGGGCTGCTTTGTCCCGAGAGCAGCCTGCCCAGAGAACCCAGCTGGGCTCCATCCTGCCGGCCGCTGGGGCTGCTCTCTCTCCTGATGGTCCCGCGCCCCACCCCACCCCAGGCAACACTTAGAGAAGGAGCCCAGGAGACTGGAGGCAAAGAGCGGGAAAACGAATGCCATGGCAGAGCGGGAAGAAAGTCGCCGCAGGGCGGATCGGCTCGGGACTTCTGGGGCCCATCCCTGAAGCCCTGACAGTCCAGCGTTCTGTTTCTGCAGCCAAACCCATTCCTAGGGGATCAGGGCCTTCCGGAGAGCTCCGAGCAGAGGGGTGAGGACAGGAGCCGCCTGAAGGGGCGTGGCCTGGAGCGTGTGGGCGTGGCCTCCTCCCCCATCCCCCCGCCCTAGCCTCAAGCACTAGCGCCTCTTCCTCCCGCCCAACCCTCCCCCGCAGGTGCGCAGCCGGGTCCTGAGACTCCGGTCCTGAGCTCCTGGTCCAGGGGCCGCACTGATGGGAGACCCGCAGCGCCCCCGCAGCGCCCCTCGCTGCTCCCGCCTGCCTTCCGCCCAGCTACGTCTTGGCCTCCCCAGTGCTGAGCTGGGCGCAGGGGCCTCCGCGAGCCTTTGGCGAGGGTGTGTGTGTTGAATAAGCGGGTGATCCTGGAAGAACGAACCGGTCTGAGGGGCCCGGGTGTCCAGGAGCGCGGATTGTGCTGGGCATGGAGCCTGTTTGAGATTCTCTCCCTCGTCCTCTGCCTCCGCCCCCCACCCCCCGCTGCCTCTCCCTCTCCCTCTCTTTTTCTCTTAAAAAAATAAATAAATAAATAAATAAAAACTGCCCTGAAGAAGACCTGGGAGGAGTAACCCGGGGACAATGAGCAGACCCAGCCCCCGCGCCCCACGCTAAGGGCTGATCCCACTCCCCACTGGGAGGAGCCGGAGCTCTGGGAGAGAGGGCGGGTTCTGGGGTCTGGGTCCCAGCAGGAAACCCATGAGTGGAGCCCAGAGCTGGACTAGTGCCAAGGAATGAAAGGCTTGAGGCAGTGGGAGGGACCCGGCCCCCAACTCCCCAACCCCACAGAGCTCTTGGTGGCTAAAAATCTCGAGCCATCTGAGCAACAAAACAAACACAGTTTGGGGCTATCATTCAGAGTATGGATATAAACACGCATGACTCCATACTGATGGACTGACTGGCTGAATGAGTGCGTCCGAATAGGGCCGATCCCCCTCAGAGAAGATTTCCAAACAGCCTATGTGGCTAGCTCCCCACCAAGGAGACCGGGAGATGGGGCTCCCTCCCCACCCCCAAGCCTGGGGGTCAGGGTCTACAGTGACCCTGAGCGGTGCTGAGAGCAGATCCCCTCGACCTGAGGTGGTGGGGATGACGCTCGGCCTCTGTGTCTCCCTCCCAGCTCACCCTGAACTCCAGCCTACGCGGGAGGAAACGCCAGACAATCCCAGCTGAGGGGCTGTCGGACGACGAAACACTGACCAGCGCTTGTCCACACTGTCAAGGTCATCAAAAGCCAAGTGTGAGATTCTCTCAGGAGGATCCCAAGGAGACACAAGGACTAAATGTCTGCTGGTGTCCTGGGCGGGGTGCTGGGACAGAGAAAGGATGGTGGGCTCCCATTAGCGAACCCCGAATACGCTGTGGGCTTTAGAGGAGCGTGAGGTCCCAGCCCCGGTACCTGAGCCATGACAATGTGACCGTGTAAGGCAGGGTCTCCATCGGAGAATGATGCGGGGAGTGGGTGTCTTTCCTGGGGCTCTGCACGGTCCTTGCCACGTTTCTATACCTCTAAAGCGATTCTCAAATGAAAAGTTTATATTTAAAAATGCCATCAGAGCTAGAAAGAGAAAACGCTTCCCTTACAGAAGCGAGCACCGCCGTGCGTCCCCGGCCGCAGATAACCAAGAACGAGATGTCACCATGGACTGCCCCTCCACGTCCTGGAGAGAGCCAAGCACCCCCCAAACTTCCGTGAACCTTCGGCTACAAAACACGTGGTTCCCTTGCTCGGGGAGCTTGTGTCGACTGAACTTGTGGACGTGCGGAGTTCCTTCCC